TCCAGAAGCAGCCCAGCTTGGAAGGGAGGACGAGCGCTTCTCCCGTACTGATTAAAACCCCTCAGCGGGTTGCTTTTTAGGGTGGATTTCTATAAATGTCCAGTCGCTGAGACCAGCCTTTGGCTGGTGGTGGCAGCAAGCAGAGCTGCAGAGGAACTGCCAGCTCGTTTGGAGGAGATCTGAACCAGGCAGTCACAGCAGATTTCACAGGACCACACTTTCAACTGCTGGAGTCAGTGGAGACTTGAGGAACCAACAGCCACGCCGGCTCTGGGAGACCTCTTCTGTCATCATCACAACCCGGGGTGGCTTTGTGTGTCGTTCACTGTGTCATCCTCTTCCAAGATGTGCCCTTTGCGTCCCTGAAGAGGCTGTTCCCACTGTTCCACATTGCCGTGGCTTCCTCTGGTGTCTCCTGCTTGCTCTTTGGCTTCCACCCCAGAAGTCCTGGCCCGCGTCTGACGGGGGTTGAGTGCGCAGCCGCACCTGGGGGGAGACAGCGATGATGAGAAGCAGTGGGGAGTGCTGTACCACAGCCTGTGGCCCCTTGTGAGCCGATATATCCCATGCTGGGAATCTGGCCAGGAGAGGACCCTGCTTCCTGCACCTTCTCAGCTTGAGGACAAATTGCCCTTCCTAGGAAAAAAGGTAGAACTTGGAGGTTTGAGCATCCTTTTCTGTTGTCACTGCCGAGCCACTGTCTCCTCCTAAGCTGCTGCCATCACCCTCATCATGTGTCATTGTCTTGGTGATGTTGTTCTACCTGTCTTGCTTGTGCACTTCCGATCTGGAGGGTGTGGAAGGGGTGGAGAGCAAAGAGTTGCTAGACGGGAAGCGTTTTGGAGTGACCTTGGAGAAGAGGGGGCGCTGTGTGCTCGGCTCTTGTGCTGAGCTGGCTTCTGGGGTCCCTTTGGAAAAAAGCTCTGACAAAGATGGGATTAAAAAGGGAGGCGATGGTGGCTGGAGGACCAGGAGGAGCATTTATGGATTTTTTAGGTGTCTTCACAGCCCCAGGCCATCCCCAGCATGCAGTTTGTTTGGCAAAGGCTGTTTTTCCTGCCCCATGACCCCACCCCGGCGGTACGTCAGGCTGCGTGGCCACCCCAGCACAGGGGGATGCCAGGGACAGGTACCGTGGTGTGGGGACACAGACACGTGGGGGGTGCCGGCTGCCCATCTCGCTGCTCTGCAGGTGCCCCTCAGAGCTGCCCACCTTGGTGGGAAACATCTTGGAGCATCTGAAAGCTTTGGTGACTTGATGCAGTTTCCATCCCGTGTTCCTGACTCGCAGGGCAGGCAGGGAGCTATTTTTGGCTTTGTCTCCTCTCCTCTTTCTCTGAGGTCAGTCCAGCCACCACCCCCCATGTCCTGCACTGCAGCCACACCACCAAGCCAGCCCAGGATGGGGACTTGGATGATGTCCTCTGCACGCTGTGGCTGTGATACCTTCCCTGAGAGAGAGAAGGAGCAGGGGTGTGAGCTGGGAGCCATTTCCCAGCTGCTGGAACAGGTCTCTGTGACCCTGGTGACACGTGTGCCCGGACCGCAGGCTGGTGGCTCCCAGTCGCCAGCTGCTGACATCGGCAACGGTTCCCCTCCACAGGCACCGTTTCGCAGGGGTGCAAGTGGGGACAAGGCATGTGGGATTGCTTTTCAAATATATCCATATATCCATACACACACATATATATATTTGTGCACGCGTGTGTGTGTATATTTATAACTGTATTTTGAGGCAGCGAAGGACCTTGGTGAGAGCCGAGCACCAGCAGGAAAGCAGCCAAGGACAGAAAGTCTTGCATGAATTTTCCTCCCTCCGGCTGCCAGTCGCTATCTTTCTTTTTGTTCTTCCTTTTCTTCCCCCCTTTCCCCCAGCTCTCTAATCAGGAGGAGCAAATGGCGAGGCCTGGGGGTGCCAGGAGCACACCCGCAGCTTCTCGGCTCCGGCTTGCTGCTGGATGCCTGAGGATCATTATGCTTAATTTATTTTATTTTAATTTGGTGGGAAAGCTGGCAGCCTGGAGAGAGCGTGGATCTTTCGCCATCAGCTGCCCGGGCACTGCGAGTCGGATGCTGCCCGTGCCGGCTCGCCCTGAGCCCTCCAAGGGGGGCGAAAACGAGGGCTGCATCCCATCACGGGCGGTATTTTGGAGGGTCGGAGCTGCTGAGGAACCCAGCACGCCGGGAATCCTGGCAGGAGATGCACTGGAGCTGGGGACAGCACCTGGAAGATAAAAAAAGATCTTTTAAATGATCATTTTGTCTTCTCCTCGGTTCAGCGCAGCCTCCCATGGATAAATAGGCGGCATCAGTTCTGCTCGGACACGTTGGCCTTTCCATTTATTTACTCCTTTGCCTTATTCTGAGCGGGCAGCTGAGCCCAGGCCGTCTCCACACAGTCCCCAACTGGGTCCGGGTCCCTGCTTGGGGGATGCGTGTCCGTCCGTCAGATGCTCGGGACACACGGACACACCCAGCGGGTGCCGGGAGCCTGCGTGCGTTGCACGGTAATAAAGCTCAGGGGTTATACAGAGCTTTTCGTCGGGAAGCAGTTCTCTAAACATAAACTAATTAATCACTCGTGCCTACCTGTCAGGTCAATGATTCCTGAGATTTTTAATCTAAAAATATTTCCCTTTTGAAATCCAGATGCACCTGTTTTGGCAACTCTGCTTTTGATTTGTTTATTTGGGGGGTTTTAATTTTTTTTTTCTTTGCCCGTGTTGCTTTCCATTTGTATTTGAGCTTTTGATGTGCTATAATTAAGTGGGCTTTTTTTTTTTTTATCCTGCAAGAATAGGAATTTGATCTCTTTTTTTTCATAGCAAGTTTGTCTCTTGCCTATAGCCCGTCACGTTCCCACTTCCCTTTTCTTCTTCTAAGGATTTTGGCCACCTTTACCTCTTATTTCAGTTTATGGACCTCAGACCCCAAAACCATTTTCTCGATGAAATCTGTCCGCTGCCCTCAGATTTATTCCATGCAAAGTGTGTGGCTGGGTGCCTGCGGTGCCGTGGGGGGAGAGGCCAGTCCTGTTTCCTCAGGGCTCAGCACCTGACACCCGGCTCCAAATTTGGCACGATGCCCCCATCCCTCCGGATGGAAACAATCCTTCCTAGCCTGGAATTATTTATTATTAGCTCATCGTACTGGCAAATGTACTGTTGTTGGGGGAGTTTTCTATCTTTTTTTTTTTTTTTTTCCCCCTGACCTTCCCACCTTTGTGGACAGTGAATGTTTTAATTAAAAATGACAATATATACTCGAACCCTGAAAGTAATTATTTCAGTAGAATTTGAGGCTTTAAATAAAGCTCTTTCTAGTGTTAGCCAAACCTCTCAACAGAGTCTTTTATTTCCATTTTATACTGATAATAGCTATAGCCTTAACTTGTGTCAGGGTGAGGAAGACCATCCATGCCTGGATTTTTTAGTTACTCTGGTTTTACTTCCTATTGCCAACTGATTTTAGATTTTTTTTAATTTTTTTTTCTTGAAATGACCAGGAAAATCCCTTGCTCTTGTTTGTGCTGCAGATCCAGGGGGTCAGATTCATCTCAGGTGTAAGCGGGTTTATTAAACATTGCCCAGCTCTGGATGTGCACGAGTGTGTGCTCAGGGGCTGAGTGTGTGTTTAGAAAGTGCTTTTGAGCTCTTGTGCCAGATGAAATGGGGAAATACGATTCATTTCTCTTAGGAAATGCCTTTTTTGTTCACTCTCCGAGGATTTATTTTACTTATTTTGCAGCTGCACACACCTGTGCATGTGGAAATCTCAGGTTATGCTTCTGTGTTCAAACACAGATGCGGGAGACACACACCGAGGGGCACGAGGGCACCTCGATCCTTCAGACCTGGGACATCCCAAGTGGTTGGGATGCTCCCATGTGGTTTTTCCAGGAAAGCCCTTGCAGGAGAAGGACTTCTACTCGAAGCAGTAATTGAGGCAAAGAGTACAAAGAGGGGAGGAAAATTCTATTCTTGGAAAGCCACTCTGGGAGGATTAATTTATTGTTGTCCCTGTCCTTAGCATGGTTTAGACTTTACTGGAACAACTGGATTCTAAAGAGGAAAAGCATTTTCCAAAGAATGAAATGTATTTTGTACATTTTTTTCTTTGTTTTTGCACTACCTGCCCTCTCTGCCTGTATTTAAAGATGGGGAAACTGAGGCACGGTCAGCCGTGAGCTCTGTGCAGCTTTCTCTGCCATCTGGGGTTAGTGGCTGGTGCAAATGGTGCAGGATCAGGCTGCAGACACCACGTTAGGTGACATGAGAGGACCCCAGAAGAGCTGAGGTCAGAGCTAGAGACTTCCAGCTTCCCATCCCCTGCTTGGATTGGGGTATGAGTCTGACAGCAAGAACGGTTACATTTTTGGGGTTTTTGATTGGTATTCATAGCAATTTTGCTGTATATTTGAACACAAAGCTTGGCTTTCTGGGTTAGCTCTGCACTGAGTTTTCTGACAATCCTGCCCTACTTCTTCCTTGTGGGAATCATAAAATCATTAAGGTTGGGAAAGACCTCTACGATCATCAGGTCCAACTGTCAACCCAACACCACCATGACCACTAAACCATGTCCTGAAATACCACAGGGCAGGGAGGTGAGCGGGGGGAGCTGGAGAGCCAAGGAGCTGCGCTCGGTGCCCAGCGTGTGGAGCACCAGGATGCTCGCTGCTTTTTGGGGTACCTCTGGGAAAGAAGAAGTCCTGGTGATGGGGTCTGAGCCCCACCAGTCCAACTTGGGATGAACATCCCCCTTCCCTGAGTGAAGCCCCGAGATGCGACTCAGGTTTTCCTCTCCCCTTTGTGTCTCCTGCAGTGCTGAGCATCCGGGGAGCGCAGGAAGAAGAGCCCACGGACCCCCAGCTGATGCGATTAGACAACATGCTCCTGGCCGAGGGCGTAGCGGGCCCCGAAAAAGGAGGCGGCTCAGCTGCCGCGGCCGCCGCTGCCGCCGCATCGGGAGGAGCCGGCTCCGATAATTCAGTGGAGCACTCCGACTACAGAGCCAAACTCTCCCAGATCCGGCAGATCTACCACACGGAGCTGGAGAAGTACGAGCAGGTAACAGGCTCCTTCGCGGCGGAGGGCGAGGGTGTGGTGGGCACGGCATGGTGGGCACAGGAGCCGAAGCAGCCGGGAGAGGTGCTGGCGAGCGTGGGCACCACGGCGTGGATGTGCCCAGCCTGGATCGCTACTGACATCTATTGTCAGGAGCGCACGGGAAATGCCAACTGTTGCTTGGTATCCGAGTGAAAATGTGCTCCTTCAGGGTTGGGGGCTTGCGCTGGAGTGTGGCGGGAGAGTAGGCTCAGAATGGGTTGCCCCTCTGATTTTCAGTTTTCATGCCTCCCCTAATATCTTGCCGAAAATTTGCCCCGTGAAGGGGAGAGTCCTCTTTCAGGTGTTGGCCTCAGTGCAGGCAGTTTTCTAAGCAAACCTTGGATCAAAATCTTCCTTGAGTATTTTTTGTGCTTGAAAACTTCTTCCAGAAAAAGAAAAGGGAGGGGATTTTTTTTCTTGTGGAAAATGATTCTTAAAAAAATAAAGAAAAGGGAGGGGATTTTTTTTCTTGTGGAAAATGATTCTTAAAAAAAAGAAAAACGATTTGGGTCATGAATGCAGCTATTGGTAACAGCGGCAATTGCATGAAAAGCTTTGCAGGCCAGTGCTCAAAACCAGTTTCTTTCAAAAGCTTCCAGATGTTTTGCAGACCTCTCTTTGCCACAGCACGGCTTGCCCTTATGATAAATGGGGTTTCTACTCTCAGGTTGTGTGTTTTATGGAGTGCAAGCAAGAAAGCATCCCTCTCTTTTGGTGCAGGATGGGTTCTGCGGCCAGGGGCCGGGCGAGATTTCGAGTCTCTGGTTTAACACTGTCTCTGCCAATGCAACGAGGGCTGCATGACGAGCCAGCCCAGCTCCCCTGTTACCTGGCCAGCTGGATGTGGGGTGGGGTTATAGGGGATGTCTCCCCACTTCAGGTACCGCGTTGGCCAAGCTAAGGTTGCTGGCCAGCATCTGGTGTCGAGCTCCCAGAGGTGGGTGCCACTGGGTTGGAGCTGGAGTCAGGATGGCCAGGCAGGGCTCTGGTGTTGAAGAAGCCAAATGTGGTTGCACCATGAAAGGCATTTTGAGAGGGCATTAGAGGAGTAGGGGGAGGCAGGACCTGGGCAGCAGGCAGAGGACAGGTTGGGAGGGTGACTGACCTTCGTTGGCTGTCCTCAGCCGTTGCAGTCACTCCCTCGAGGCATGGAGGCGGGGTGGTGTGGCATGAGGGACATGGGTAGAAGTGGAGAGCATGTCAGGGCTCATCTTTTTGCCCCGAGGCTGAAGAAGGCGGGGAGAGAGACCCCTTGTCCTCTGCACTGAAGGCCAAGGAGAGACTCTTGACACAGCCAGGGACAGGCTTCAGGGAAGGACCTTCTACTTGGGCAGGAGTTTTGTTTGTTTGCTTTTCTAATTTTGTTTCTGCATCAGTTTTGCTCCCCGAAGGGACCCCCAGGTGAGAGAAACCTTCACCCCATCCCCATGGGGTGAGATGGGCCACATCCTTCCTTGTCACAACCCACCGATGGGGTTGGTTTTGCCACCGAGTTGCTTTGCAACTGGCTGAGCTGGTCCCCATCCCTGATCTCATCACCCATAGTTCTGCAAAAGCAGGGGTCAGGGCTTCTCAACCTCCACGCCCCTCTCTCCAATCCCACTATTGGTGGCTGGGAGAACTCAGTGTCTGGATTCTCACGGCATCTGGCTGCTGCTGTGACAGCACAGCGCTTGCTGGCAATTTTGCCTTTATTGCTCTTTATTTCATGCCAAGAGGAGACGATCTGAAGTTGCTTGGGTGTCTTGGGAGCGAAGAGATGCCTGGCTGAGAGCTCTCATAGCTGGTGCCCACCCCAGGAGGTGGGAGCTGTCAGCTGAAGCTGGTGATGGGCAATTGGAGGGGCTCTGCTGCCCTTGGGGGTGTCTCCTTGTTGGATCAGAGCCGTGGGTGGGGATTCAGCTTGGGAGGGTGTGATGAGAGATAGTAAGTCAAGCCCATGTTGCCAGTCCACAAAAACAGTGTTTATTTCACCTGCCAACCCCCTTTTCCCCATCATGGGGTGGGAACTGGGGACACTGTCCTCAGAGCGGCTGCCCATGTCCCAGGAGCACCGAAGGCTTCTTGAGCTATCAGTGTCCAAGTGCTGCTCTCAGCCTGGTTTTCGGGACTTCGTTCTGGGAATCGGAGGATCCTGTCATGCTCACGAGGTTCTCATGGGGATGGAGGAGAGGGCAAGGAAGTGGCCTTCATCTGGCCTCAAAATCCCTCCCGTGTCCCTGCGACTCCTCTTGCCACCCTGTCCTCACCGCACAGCATGGGGACAGCAGGAGCAGCCAGAGAGTGCTGTGCCAGCAGCAGGCTAATTGGGATTATTACCTGCTTGCCCTTACTTGTCAGGGCTCCTACCTCACTCAGACTTTAATTATTATCATTATTTACTTCTTATCTGATGTGCTAAGAGTGTGGAGCAGAGCTGTGTCTCTCTGGGAGCTGCTCCTGTGAAGCACAAGGAGCTCTGGAGGACTTACGGGGCTGGAGTCCAGCTGGGAAAGTGGGAGAAGGAACAGCAGGTCAGAAAGGTTCATGATCCGCCTTAGATATGTCCGTAGCTCCTCTAGTCCGATGCAGAGAAACAGTGGCTGGGACTTTTTCGTGCTTTACATGAGTCCTAGGGCCTCGCCTGCCCTGGCTCTGTGCATGATCCCCGAGAGCAAAGAAGTTGGTTCTTTCTTCTCTCAACATGTTTGTTGTGTGTCTCTTATGCCCTCTGCTTGGCAGATGAGAGAAATTTCCCTCTCCCTTGAGAGCCTCCATGCTCTTGCGCCGGGTCTGCCCTGAAGTCCCAGCCATTGGGGCCTCCCCTTGCATCTCCTTCCTTAGCAGCATCCCTACTGTCGACGCCGTCGAATGACCTTCCCATCCTGGGGTTTCTTTTGCTTTTCTTGCCATCCCAGGCATGCAATGAATTCACCACCCACGTGATGAACCTGCTGCGTGAGCAGAGCCGGACCCGACCTATCTCACCGAAGGAGATAGAGCGGATGGTGAGCATCATCCACCGCAAGTTCAGCTCCATTCAGATGCAGTTGAAGCAAAGCACGTGTGAAGCCGTCATGATCTTGCGCTCCCGATTTCTGGACGCACGGTGAGTGCACCCCACCAAACCTTTCTCCACACCCACCATGCAGTATTTTTCAGGCCCTGGAGAGGTGTTTTGAGGTTCTGGAGTGAATTCAGGTCCATCTGAAGGGCCGTGTCTCTTGGTCTTGAGCCGCAGAGGCTGTTTACCTTCTTGATCCTTTGGTTGTCTGCAGCTGAGCAGGAGAGGATTCAGCAGTTCAAGACATCCAGTCTCTGTCTCAGGGAGGCTCCGAGCAGTACCTTGAGAATTTCACATCCTGTTTTTGCTGTGGCAGAAGGAAATTCCACGACATGTTCCAACAAACCTCTGTGGTGAAAATGTGCACTTTGGTTAGGGGTGAAAGCTAATCCTCCAGCCCATCCTATCCCCTCTAGGTTCTTTTTCTTCTGTTGCCATTGCCCCAGATTTTTTTTTTTTTTTTACTATAGAATTATTTCACTCTCCAAGCTGGTCACGTGCAGGCTGTGGATTGGACTGCAGCTTAGGATGAGGAGGAGAGACAGCTACACTGGGGGTATGAGACAAGAGGTAACAGACAGATAATGCCCTGTTGTGGATGGAAAAGACTTCACCAGGGGTCTGTCTAATGCTGCTCTCTCAGCACAGAGCTTTGCAGAGTAGCACTGATGTCTTTGGCCACAGCAGCGAGGTGTTGGCAGTCACCTTCCCAGGTGGAGGATCTGGGTGCTCTTCTGTGAGCTGGAGGATAATCTGAGGCAGAGACTTACTTGCTTTGGAGGGTGCTGAGAGTAGAGTCACGAATGAGGTGCAGATGAGAAGCTTTCTGGCCATGAGTCTATTGTATTCCATGCTCCCTGGAGCAGGGGAAGGAGGGAGGGAAGCAGGGAGAGTCAAGAGTATCTAAAATTGAATTTGTACTTCTGGGTCCCTGGCACTGATTCCCTTTCCTTTTCCTTCTATTTCTCTCTCTTTCTTCATGCTAAGGCGGAAGAGACGAAACTTCAACAAGCAGGCTACGGAAATCCTGAATGAGTATTTCTATTCCCATCTCAGCAACCCTTACCCCAGTGAGGAAGCCAAAGAAGAGCTAGCCAAGAAATGCGGCATCACGGTCTCACAGGTGAGAGGGCTCAGAAATACAGCAAAGGCAGCTACTGGCGCACCTTAGCGTGGTGAGGGGCACTCCGGGCCTCCATCGAGTCAATCGTGTCCCGATGTTGGGCGTTTAATTACTAAATGGGTTTAGCACAAGTTAGTCTAAATGAGAGCAGACGGCAGACTTGCAGATCAAAGCCATGGGTGGGAAAGGAGAATCTGGGAGAGGATTTAGAAGGGATGAAGACCTCATGGAGCGATGGCTGTGTGTGTTAACAGCACAGAAATGATGTGGCATGACTCACAGAGGCAAAGTCTTCCTCTCGAGGAATTTGTGCTGAGCTGGCTTCCAAGAAGAGCTCATTTGAGCTTCGAGTCCATTCTTCAGGCCAACGGATTCAAAGGCAGTGAGAAGAGGTGCGCAGATTTTGCACGATAGGCTAGAACAGACAAGGTTGTGGTGGGCAGGGTTTGGGTCAGACAGGCTAATGGTTATAGCTTTTGCTCAAGGAGGGTGGGCTGTCTCAGGGTCATTTCTCTCTGTCATTACTCTTGCGCTGCGGAGCATGACATCTCCCTGACTTGCTTATCCCTCAAAGAAAGGTGGTCAATAAAAACAAATGGAATTATTTCCATACGTTCAAGGCAGCCACGTAGTTGCTGGAGTCTGCAGCTTTGGCTCTGTAGCTGCTGGGATTTGTGAGGATTGCAGTCAGTCCTTGAAGTGTTCAGCTGTACGTTGCTCAGGCCTGCCCTTCTTTCGTTCCCCTCTTTTTGGAGCAAGCTGTGTGATCGAAAGCCGATCTTTATGGCCTCTACTGGTCTTGACTTCATGTGAGCTTAGCGCTCCCTCTGGGCTCCCGTTGAGTTCCCCATCTTGGGCCACTTCCCAGCCGCAGGCACATGCCTGTTCGTCGCTTGTGTAAACTGAAGGCAGCAGTAGCATCTGGTGTCCTTGTGAGAGCATGTCTGCCTTCAGCGGGAGCAACGGCGTCCAAGGGTAGGTGTCGTCACCGTGTCGAATGCCTGCCGAGTGACTCCGATTGCATCCCCTGGGCCCGAAGACCCAAATGTTGATTCTGCCCAGAGTTACCAGGGAGAGACATATTGGCTTAACTAAAGCTACAGCTGTCCTGATGCTTCCCCTCTCACTTTTAATTCATCTGTTCACACTTACAACTTCTCCTTCACAAAGAGAAAATGCTCAGGAGAAATGCTGCACTTAGGATGACTGTGCTGTACGAAGGCTGTTTTGTGCCTGTCTCCAGGATTTCCCTCCCTTCTTTGTGCAAAGAAGGTAGAAGCAAACACACACCCAAGTCTCTGTTCTTTCTGAAGCTAAGTGGAAACATGACACAGCATAAATCTGTGCAAATCATGAGCAGAGTTGATCTGCACTCAAAGTCTGGCTGGGGTAGACAGGTTCTTTGCTTCACAAGTTCTGTGATGAAGATCGATTGTGGTGGCTGTTTTTCCCGACTGTTTTTCCCTGCGGTGCTCAGAGTTCACCCACTGGCTCCAGCATTTGAAGCCAGAAGAGCTGTTGTAGAGATAGCCAAGTGAGAAGATCACGAAAGGAGGATGTTGTCATTAATGAGAAAGCTGGACCAGGAAGTGGAATGGAGCTCCTCCCAAACAGCACCTGCTCCTGGCGCCATCTGAGTGTTCACTCTCTCATCTGGTTTGGGTGCTGATCTGAGTTACTACCTTTTGCCTCCCCAGAGTCTCTACAGGTAGTATTTTCTTTTTCCTGCTCTGCAGCAGTGCAGGACTGGAGACCTGCAGTTCAGTAGCAGGTGAATTGGTGGATGAAGCCGCCTCTGCAGAAGCTGCTGGAAGCTCTTAAGAGCACTGCAGATAGAAATCTTTCGAAGTCTCACTGAAGAGGTTGATCTGCTAGCTCAAGATTGCAGTTCCAAGCAATCTTAGGAGTGTTGGAGCTCTCTTAGGAGAGTTGCATCTTCCTCTGACATTTGTCCATTCTCTTCATCCTGATGGGCTTTCTCAAACAGGGTCAGTAGTGGCTGGAAATTATTTTTTGCTTGGAGACCTGATTCTCTGTGTTCAGGATTGTCAAAGAAGAAGCTGAGAGCTGCTTCCCGAGCTGTACATTGAATATTTCCCGTATCTTCTCTGAAATTTTTCAGTGTGATGTAGCACCCACAAGTGAACAGGATTGTCATCAGCAGGGCACTGAGCTGGATTTTGGGAATGCTGAGTTCATGGTGGTTTGGGAGGTACCCTGAAACTTTCCCTGGGAAGCAGTTCTGGCCAGATACCACAGTCTGATTTCGTAGACTTCAGAGTTATGCCATCTAGGTGCTGAACCTTTGATGTGTAAACTTTGGGGTGTTTATCCAGACACCTGGCAGGTTGTCCAGGCGATTCTACCGTCAAGCATTCATTCTGCTGACCCCAGGATATCACTGCTCAGACCTTTCCTTGGGGCTTCCCGAGGTTCATGCCTTGCACTGCTGCAGGCACGGGGAAGCAGCTTTTGCCAAGACTGGATGAGCGAAGCTGCACCGCTTCATTCCTCCTTCAGATCTGGCCCATCATTTTCAGCCCTGCTTTATGACTTGTGAAGAAGTTCATCCTGCTTCTGTATTTTTTAAAAAAAAATTCACTAGCCCGCTTCAGCACACTCTTAGGCACTTTGGCGCATCAGTCCCCTACTGGTCTCTGAGGAAACACAATGGAAACATCTCCTGCCCCTTTCCAAGGGACATACTTCTTCCTTGGGACCAAAGTTAGGTCTTACACCGAGCCCTGCGCTCCCTCTACAGCCTTCCCCTGAACCTCCTGGTTTGTGTAGCAGCTCGTGCTAAACCATACATAGCATCCACTTCTGCCCTTTTGCACTGGTTTCACTCCGATGATCAAAAGCAGAGCTTCAGTGATATCAAGGCAATCTTGTGTGGCAGCCAGACCCAAGTAATTCATCACAAGTTCTCCCTGAGAGCTAGGCTGGCTTCTCCAAAGGAAGGAGAAAGGGCATCTAGGAGTCAGAGCATCTGTCCCCTGTCAAAGAGGCAAATAAAAAGTTCCAAAATGACACATAACTGTTTTCAAATTGTGCAATTTCAGGGTGATTTGACTCTCATGTTTTCTTAAGGCCATCTGATGTTTTCTTGGGGGTCAGTCTAGCAGTTCCTGTGGACCATCCCCTTAGTGGACATCCCATCTATAGAGGAGCCAGATAAATCTGCACAAACCCAGCGCTCTCCGGGAGATCCCACCGCCTTGCCTGGGCTTGGTGTAGCACATGCAGGCAGAAGGTGCCTCCTTCCAGGAAAATGGGGGAGAAAAAGAATATTATGCACTGCTTAACCTGAACTAATCCACCTTCCTCACCCAGCTGCACTCACCAGAGCCGAAACGTTAACGTCTTTGTCTTCTCTTAAACTTACTCTAGGTATCAAACTGGTTTGGAAATAAGAGAATCCGGTACAAGAAGAACATAGGTAAATTTCAAGAGGAAGCCAATATTTATGCTGCCAAAACGGCTGTCACGGCTACCAATGTGTCAGCCCATGGAAGCCAGGCTAACTCACCCTCAACTCCCAATTCAGCTGGTTAGTTTTTGTTTTTTTTTTTATTTTGGGTTGTTAATGTTTGGTTTTTTGTTCGTTTCCTCCCCTCCCTGTAATCTCTCTCTTGTTTTCTCCTTTTGGTTATTTCAGTTTTCGGTTTTGGTTGGCTCGTTATTGTGGTCTTTCAGAAAAAAGAAAAAGAGAGACGGGTTTGGGTTGGGGGAGGGGGATTCTTTGCTTTTTTCCTCCTCTTTTTCCTTTTCTCTTTTTCTTCTCTTCCCCTTCCCTGTTCTGTTTTTTGTTGGAAAAAACAATGTGATCAGATTTTGTGACTGATGGTGCCGCATTGGGGGTTGTATGCATGGACGGTAAACACAAAACCAGAAAAATGGTCTGAAAAATGTTGCTGGGATTGTTTGAACTTTGGGGAGAGGAAAAAGGTAATTAAAAAGTCATTGCATAATGGTTTTATTTCACTGGGGCTGAAAGAATGAGTGATCCAAATGGATAAAATCCAGCATTTCTGGGATGTCCTAACGTGCCATTATGGGGATTGTTTGGGGTAGATTTTTATCCTTTTGATTTTCTTTCGCTTTTGGTTACCTTTGATTGCTTTCATGACAGTGTCTGGATCACCTGCAAGAGTGTGCTCGGTGTGAATTTTTATTTTACCTTTGTGTCAGTGCGATCCAGGAAATCCATGGGTTGTTCCCTTCCCTTTCCCCCTTTCCTGCCCGTTTGCTGTGGTTTCCATTTGTTCGTTTTGAGGGTCAAAGACACGGAGCCCTTTGCCCAGATTTCAACTCCTCTGCTAGAGAACGATGCTTAGTTCCTGCGTGGTGCTGGCCACGGGGAATGGCCAACCCAAAAATGATCCTGGGCTGCAGTCAGCTCCCACAAGCAATTGAAAATTGGGATCTGTTTAGAAGGAGGGCATAAAAAAGTGAACTTTGTGGGTGCCGTGTACTTTGTTATATCTGTGTGTCTGTTTTCTTTTTAGGGGTGGGAGGGAAAAAGTGGGAATGTGCCTCTCACGTGCCTTTGAGCTCGGTGTCTGCTCATGGTACCCTTTCACCAGGGTGTGATGCTTGCTGTTTTCAGGTAGGCTGCCTAAAAGGAAGGAAGTGGTGAGGGAGCACAGAGCATGGTGGGCAGCAGAGGAAGCTGGATGTTAAGCAGACCACCCTGCAAAGGCTGGTTGCTCTCAGGACATGCTTCTGTAGTGAGGGCAACCCTGCCTGTGACAGGTAGCAGAGGAATTGCATCTCAGAAGCATCTCCAGATCCTGGAGGATTTGAGTGGAAAGTGGAGAGCCAGAGGTCAAAACGAGGGGTCTCTGGCTGATCTCCCAAACCTAAACCCCTAGCTGGAAGGCAAAAGCAGTCCATCACCCACAAGCTGATGTGGTAAGCAGTCGCTGATGGCTCTGCTGGGGAGCTCATCCACACCTTTCAGGGACTTACGTGGGTGGCTTGCATGGAAGTAGAAGAGTTGGGCAGTGGAGAGAAGTCCCTTCACACACTCCCTTCATTTCCAGGGGATGTGTTACTTACTAGGGGTCTGCCCTCCAGAGCCACCTAGAAATACTGCCGGGAGGCATCTCTGCCACCTCCTGCTCGCCCAGGGCTGCCTGTGAGTGAGCTGTGCCGTCTGCTCCGACTTGGCTGAGGTGCTCAGAGGGCTCAGGGAGATGCAGACAAGTTTTGTAGGGCCAGAGGGTTTGCAGGAATTTCGTTTGATTCTTTTCTCTTTAGTTTGTTCAGTTTCCCATCCTATGTGTTCCCCCCACACCCCTTCTCCTTTCAGTGTTTGAACTGCTGAAGATTTAGGTGCTGTTTTAAAAATGTCATCCTTTCCAAACAGCTCATTCAAAATACCTTGTGAGGTGAGATCTCGTGACATGAACACCCCCCTGTAGAAAAGGCCGAGGGGTAGAGAGCAGAACTCTGTGTGTGCTGAGGGAGATGCCCACGGCCTGTGGTGCTGTCCCACAGTCCACATCAACTTGGACCAGAGAGGCACAGCTTTTCTTCTTCTCCTCTTTCTTCAACTGGAGTCAGAGCCAAAGGTCTGGAATAGCAAGGGAAGAGCTTCAGATTGCTTAAATGGTTTGGATCTGGCCCACATGTAGTGGAATAGGCATTTCCCCAGTGCCTGCCCAGTTAAATAGCGCTCCAGTGCGAGGCTGCTTCTTTGCTTTCCCCACAGGCAGTAACACGGCCGTTTCAAAGATAAATTGGCCAGTACCCTGCAGTAAACAGCAAAGATAATCCCTGGATAACACTATGCTTTCAAGGAAGGACAAACAGTCTTGTTATTAACGGGTAAGACTTGAGCTCCTGGGTCCTCTTTCTGGCTCACTTGTCTGCACTCCAGAAACATCAACCTCTTTTCACGTGCCTAATGTGCCTGCAGTGCTGAAGCAGCACATTAATGCAAGGGGAGCTTGTGGGCCATGGAGATCCTTCTTCTGCAAGAAGCAAGGTGTTTCTAACCTGGCCCAGATTCCACCACCCTCCCTGTACTCTGCAGCGGCAGCAGAGCAGCGGTGAGGTCCCACGGTCAGCACTGCAGCAGCCTCTGGGTCAGCTTGCAGAGATCGTGGGTTTGAATGTCCTCTCCTGAGAAGACAGCTGGAGGAAGGGCCTCAGGATTTTATCTCCAACAGTGGCCTCCCAGGTTGAGATCTCCCCAGCAGAACCATGTGAATGTAACAGCTCAGTCAAGCATCCCTGTATTGTCACTCTGTCGGGCAAAGGCGCATGCTGAGGACATCTGGAGTTGTGTGACCTCCCCTCCTTTGGGTTTTCCCACAGGCGCTAGCACCGAGAAACACACCTGTACACACTAGGTCTGAAATACCTGTCTGTAAAAGGTTTGGAGGATGGTGCCAAAGGCCATGAGCCATCCAGATTTGCTGAATTGCCCTGGGAGGAATTTGAAAGTGGACGAAGAGGTGAAGGACTAAGATGGATCGATTTACACCATGGACTTCTTTCTCTTTTCAGATCATTGTCTGAGACTTTGATGAGGAAGGAGCATGAAAAAAGATAGGAGTTACTGGGAGCTGGTAGAACCTTCTGGTTTAAATACGTTGAAGGGCACGTGGAAAGAAAGAAAGTAGGCAGAGGACAGGTCATGAGAAACAACTGACCCTGGAGGACCGTAATGTTGGAAGAGGAGGTAGAACTGGATGTGATGGGACCTGGGACAGGAGCTAAATTCATTTCTGCTGTGGCTGCGCAGGCCCATCTGTTCTCTGCATTGATGCCCATGTTACCGGAGATCGGTGAATGGCTACAGTCAGTCAAAGAGATTGGCCACACATTGACAAGGGCAAAGATTGCATCTGTCTAGCCATCTGGCACGTTCAGAGCAGGGTCCCCCATCCTCAGTCACCCAGGCCTGAATGTCAAACACCTTTTCATCCTGAATACGCAGTTGGGCTTTATCAGCCAGATGTTCAAATAAGCTGAGATGTCTGGCTCATTTGGGCTAACAACTCCCCATCCTCACTTTGATCGCCTGGACAATCTTAGCACAAAAACCACATGGCAAATGAAAGCTGTTTTATGTGGGCAGACCCTTTTGCCAGCCAGAGTCCTCAAGGGCCACACACAGGTGATGACATCCAGTGAAATCTTCCATGCAGAGCAGCCAAAATTGTCCTGAACTTTTTTTTTTTAAATTCTCCCCCAGCTCACCATTTTGTTTTGTAAAAATCTTCTTACATTTTGTAAAAATCTTCTTGCAAAACTGCTAGTTGAGGAGATCTTGCTGTCTGGAAATGTATTTCATCAGGCACAGACCTGACTCTTGTATCTTCTCTGCCTTCCGCCGTTTGTGGCAATCACTTGTGCAGAGCACAGCGCTGGAGAGGACCTTACTTCAACAGAGGCTTTTCTGGTTATGGTCTCACTGTTTCAAGTGTTGATTTGCAAGAGAAAAAAATGTCCTACTGGGTTATCCTAGGCTTTAAGACCCAATATCAAACTCAGTAGTTTTGTCCAGCTGAGGAGCTACGTGGTCCATCAAGTTCTCCCCTCATCTTTGGCCATGGTAGAAACACAAGGAAAAATTACAGGGGAGGTAAATTCCTTGCTCTCAATGCATATATGTCATTGCCATTGGCTTCAGCTAGGAGTCTTGAACACGTGGCCAAAGTTGACCTCAGTGGTTCAGTGGGCTGGATCTCTGTCTCACTGGTGGTAGGTGGTATGAGGCAGCAGATGAGACTGGCTTGATTTCAGCTCCAGTGAACACCATTACCATGTTTGTTTATTCTTGATGCCATTTGAATTATTGGATGATTTAGAAAAAAATTATGTTGGAGGTCCTGGATGAACTGAGGTGGAAGTTGAGACTGTCAAAACATCAGAGAAGCTGAAGAAGCAGCTCTCTGAAGAGATGGAGAAGGGGTGCAAGAAATACCAGCAGTCAAGCTTGTGAAGATTTTTGTATTGGAGGCAAACTCGAAGTGGGTTTTGCTCATCAGAAATGTTACGAGTGGAAAAGATTTGTGGATATTTGATGTACGCTTTTACCCAGTGGCAAGATCTGACTGCCATAGCTTGTTGAAACATTTCCAGCACTCTTTCTGAAGCTGGTGATGACCTGATAGAAACACAGAATCACAGAATTGTTGAGGCTGGAAAAGACCTCTGCGATCATCAAGTCCAGCCTGTGACCCAACCCCACCACATCAACCAGACCACGGCACTAAGTGCCACATCCAGCCTCTCCTTAAACACCTCCAGGGATAGTGCCTCCACCTCTTCCCTGGGCAGTGCATCCCAGTGCCTGATCACCCTCCCCCTGAGGAAGGGCTTCCTGAGATCCAACCTAAACCTTCCCTTCAGGCCATGTCCTCTCGTCCTGTCACTGGTTGCCCAGGAGAAGAGCCTGACTTCCACCTGACTATAACTTCCCTTCAGGTAGTTGTAGAGTGATAAGGTTCCCCTTGAGTCTCCTCCAGGCTAAACTCAACACTGAAGAATAGTAGTGGTAGGTGTTGGGTGCCTGGACGCTGAAGATGAGCTGCTGTTCCACGCTGCCACAAGTCATGAAAAGTGTTGGTTTTTCTGGTGATGTTTTGTCTACACACAGTATCATCAAGGGATTCCCATGCCAAGATCAGAGGCCTTTTTTCCCAGGTTCACAAGCTCAAAGATGGTTGTTACCTCTCAGTTCTTGAGAAACCCCAGATCAGATGATGACCTTTGAAGACTTTTGCTGTGTTTCCAGTGGAGGGACAGGTTCGATTTATGATGGAGCCTCCTCTACAGTGGAAGGATTTGACTTGTATTCCCACATCTTACCTCCGTGGAGAATACTGGAGTCTTAATTTTCAGAGCGTTTCACATCCCTGCCCCCTCTCCCACCCCAGTGCATCAGCCCCTCTTAGCCATGAGACTTTGGGCCATCGTAATTTTCGCTCGTGGCCAGGGCACAGACGGCAGAGTGCTGAAGCAGCAGAGCAGCAGCGCAAAGGGCTCTCTGCAATTACGGCTCTGATACGAATGCATCCGTACGTGCGGGGCCATTGGTATGCGCATATTTATCTCTGCATCCACATCAGCGGCAAGACATATTTACCGTTTAGATATGCACATATATTGTAAAAATACCCTGTGCCAATAGCACTGTATATCTTGTAAGTGACATCTCCGGCGCTCCTCATGATTTCCAAGGCACTGGCGCTCTTCAGAACTAGAGTTTGTGGCTGTTTGTTTATTTTTATATCCTCCCTTCCAGTCTGAATTTTATGACCGGGTTTGTTAAGTTTTGATAAAATATCAGTTAAGTTTATGGCATTTTTACTTGTTATTTTAATTTTCTTTTGGTAGGGGAAGGTGAGATGACATGTTGCTCTGCTGAGGGCAGAGCGATAGTGGTGCCCTCTGAGGTGCTCAGGGATTCCCGAGTCCTTTTCCCGGCTCTGCCACAGATTATTTGTGGTTTCTGCTCGCCTTAAAGGAACAGGAGAATGTGCTCTGCTTCTTGTGAGCAGTAGCTGCAAAGACCTTTGGTTCTCAGCCACTGCAGCGGTATGAAGCCGCGTTACTGCCCTGTGCTTTTGTGCCGGTAGTCAAAGCAATCGTTTAGAAAAGGAAAACATCTTTTAATATGTGAAAAGTGCCTGTATTCATGCTTAAGAGTTGAGCAGTGTCAGGGTGGGCTATCCTCAGTCTGCCTGCTCGTTTCCCTAGGTTTTTCGCCTTTAAAATAGCAAGTAAGCTGAGAGGTTGGGAAGTGACAGGAGCCCTTTGCCAGCTGAGCAGAGGAGGTGATGGTTACAGCTGCCTCCTGACTAGTCCCGGTTGTTTTACGCAGCGCTGTGGGATTGCTCTCTGGAACAGGCTGGGCAGGGTTGACAGTGAGCACAGGCAACGAGCTATTCCTGGCTCTGCTCTTTTCAGGCTCCAGTGGGAGGGTCCTGATTGAAGACTCGCTGTGCACAAGATGAGTCTTTCTCTTGACTGTCTTGGGCATTGTATCTAGCAGTGATGTTTCTGCTTTCCTTCAATTCTGACAATTGCCAGCACCTGACAAAAGGGCCAGTTGCAAAGAGAGCAGCAGAGAGTTTAGTGAACATGAAGTCTCCAGCATAGATCTCCCGCCTGCTCCCTGACATTTCTTGGAGGTAACTTCCTTCAGAGGAGCCTTCCTGGTCCACCTCCAGGGCAGAGCTGGGGTCTGTCCGGTGTTTTTTCACTCCCCAGCAAAGGGAGGGGGATTGCCAGGCATTTCTCAGAGCGTACGCATGAGCCATAGTTGGGCAATTCCACCAGGACTGTGGTTGCCAGTCTTCCAAGCTGGAAATGGCAGTGGAGATGATGAGAATGTATTTGGGGTTGGAGCTGAAAGCGTAGCTGACCTGGGCCCCTGAAGTCTCTCCTTTCCAAGGCTAACGTCATGTATATAACCAAACCTTGCACGTTGAGCTGTCTCACACTTAACGCGCTGATCTGCACGATAAGTTCTTAAATAATCCCATAAAACCTTTTTATTTATTTTTAACGCACTTCCCTCCTTCCCTGCTTTCCAGTTACAGGATAGAACGGGGAACTTCTCCCGTTCAGTAGTTGAGGAGATGCTCACATATCTCAAAGCTGGAAGCAGAAAACCTTGTTTCTGCAAAGACGGGATTTTCTTTTTTTCTTTTCATTGGTGGTTTCTTTTTTTCCTCCCGATCCCATCCAGTTGTCTTCACCGCTATCATTTTTTTAGCGTAACGTTGGCGACTGGTGCATGCAGTGAGGAGTTCACTTACAGAGCTCGTTCTCCTGGGGCAGCTGGCCCAGGAGGGCTGCGACACCCTCGCGTTCTCTCACGGCCCATCACGATGACCGACACTTGCCGACGTGATGGGTACGGGGAGTCCAGCCCAGATGCCTTCACTTTTTTGCGAGCCTTCGCTCCTGATGTGCTACAGTTCCGCCAGCGATGGGTTCCTGGTGTCCTGAAGCAAACCCCATGCACCGCTCCCTCGCAGAGCTCCCCGTGGCTCAGTGGGAGCTTCGGCCGTGGGGCTGGGGGGTGTCCGGATGTGCTCACCCCGCCGAGTGTAGACTCACCCACCCTGAGCTGAGCGTCTTGGGAATGGCAGCGGCGTGGGCCTGGTTCTGCCCGCTGAAAAGGCCTCCACTCTCAATAGCGAGGCTTGTTTGGGTAACCCTGTTCTCGAGAGCCAGGTGGATCCCTCCAACAGCCGAGATTTTCAGAGCTGCCTGAAGGATTTTGGTGCCCTGAAATGAAGAGAAAGGGCTGTCCGAGTCCTCCAGCCTGGGTTTTGTTTGTCTTGGTCGAAAGCATGAAGAATCCTTCCTCCAGCTGAGGAGCTGTTGAAGAATGTTCTTGGCATTGAGCTGTAACAACATGTGGCTTTGAATAACCTCAAGAGTGCATCCTTTTTTTTGCTTGCTCTGTTCTTCATACTACTAACCTGACTGTGTGTTTTGTTTTTGTGGTTGCTTTGCATGTTGTTCCTTCCTCTTGGCTGAGAGTCATGGGGTGGATCTTTTTTCCTTTCTGTGATTCAGGTGCCTCATTCTTTCCTTTCCAGGTTCTTCCAGTTCTTTTAACATGTCAAACTCTGGAGATTTGTTCATGAGCGTGCAGTCTCTCAATGGGGATTCTTACCAAGGGGCCCAGGTTGGAGCCAACGTGCAGTCACAGGTAGGGACCCATCCGATGTACTGCCAGTGAATGCATTAGTGTTGGAGGAGCCTTTGATTGTATTGGCACTTCTCCCTCCCGTCCGAAAAGAGCAAATCTCAACCAGCACGAACGAACCAACCAACACTTAAAAAAGGCGAACCAAACCAAAACCAACCAACCAACCAAAATAAGCAACAGCAACAACCACAAAAAAAAAAAAATCAATCCAAAAGAAACCAAAACCAAACACCTGATCGAACCAACAACCATGGTCTTAAGGAGACTTGCCCACACTTTGTGAATGCATTTGGCTCTGGCTTGATAGTCGTACTAGCAGGAGAGGAGGTTTAGGAGAACAGGCACGAACTCAAACTAAAGCAGCTGAGGTTTAGATTCTGCTTGCTTTATTCTTCCAAGGGAAGGGGCCAGATGTTTGGACTGGTGTCTCGTTGTCACAAGGCTTCCACTTACTCCTTTGATGCCGAACCAGGTGTCTGCTGAAAGGCAAGAAACGTTCAAATACACAGATTTTTATTTTTTTTTGATTAATTAAAAGCCACCCTTCACCATCTCCCCACCTCCCCAAAGCACAGGCATTCAAACCACCCACGTACACACCAGCAAGACAGAGCAGGGGACCTTTGAGCAGCGTTACTGAAACATCAACCCATGCTTTGGGCAAAAGGAAAGATTCTAAAACAGCCAGGAACCTCACTCAGGTCTCCCACCTCCCATCTGATGTCCAGATGTGCCATGAGTCCAGTCTCTGGCGTCTAAGGCTCTCTGTTG